TTTTTTCTAGAGTTGGGGTTTTGCCATGTTGCTCAGGCTGGTCTTGAACTCCTGGGCTCAAGCAATCCGCCTGCCTTGGCCTCCCAAAGTGCTGGGATTACAGGCATGAGAACCTCTGCGCCCAGCCTGGTTCTCAGAACCCACTGTATGGCAGGCACTTTTGTACACGTTATTACCTTAATGCTCACAACAGCCTCACTCAAGAGATATTACTATACTTAAGATATTATACTCAAGAGGTAGTCTACAATAGATATATTATTATATTTTATGAACAGAAAATAGATTCAGAGCAGGGAAAGGTTTAGGTTTTACCCAAAGTCACCCAATAAGCAAATGTTAATTTTAGCACGAAACCTTCCATTTTCATGATTGCTGGGAGCTTCTGCAGCCTGATTCCGAACTCAGGAGTGGGGGAGGAGGGGGCAGAGACCAGAGAGGTCATCAGGAGGTTTGCCCTGGAGCGGACTGGGAGCTGTTCTGTGATAAATGGTTTCCTATAAAGAGCTCAATCAAGGGGCAAAGAGAGACAACCCTGAGGGTAGAAAGGAACTTTGTGTGTTAAAGCTTCAGGAAGGGTGACTTTGGGTTGATGGGTATCAGGAATGACCACCCCTGCCCAGCAGTGGAGCAGGCTACCTCAAGAGGAGGGGAACCTCTCACCACTGGGGGCGTGTGAGCAGAACCAACTTTTCCCTTTGCTCAAGACGCCACAGAAGGAATGTTCCAGTGAGGGAGGTTGGCCTGCATAATTTCTCTACAGTCTCTCAGACTTGGGAGCTTCTGAAGGACCCAGGCAAGTACTTGTGCCCAAAAGTACCTTTGGCAGGAGGGTTTTTTTGGTTTTTTGTCGTTTGTCTTTTTTTTGAGGCAGAGTCTCACTCTGTTGCCCAAGCTGGAGGGCAGTGGCTTGATCTCCACTCACTGCAACCTCTGCCTCCCAGGTTCAAGTGATCCTTCTGCCTTAGCCCCACTAGTAGCTGGGATTACAGGCACGTGCCACCATGCAGGGCCGCAAATCTGGTTTCTGGGTGGGTGTTTGCTTTTCACAGAGGAATGGTG